CCGTCCGTCCGTCGTCCGTCCGTGTGTGTGTGTGTGTGTGTGTGTTCTTCTTCTCCGGGGTTCAGGGAGCAGGTCAGGCTCCCCGCGCCGGTTGGCGCGCCCCTGTTGTGGGGCCTTGTGGGGGTGCCGGAAAAAAAACACGGGTCTGTGTCTCTCTCTTGATATCTTGCTCTGAACCGCTGCAAGGCTGCACCATCGAGCGCACTTGCACCACATGGCCACGCAGGAGTACAGCTGAATGCAGAGCAACCTTAGTCAAGAACTGCATGGGGCTTGCGTCGCCTAGTCGGACACTTCTCGCAGGCAGCTACGTGTAGGGCTCAGGGCCATGGCTTGGTCTGCGGTATTCTTGATTCTAGGTCCGGCGAACAGGCTCTAGGACCTTCCCTGCAATGCGGATGTGGGAGTCTGATTGCCTTCACGAGTTAAGGCATTAGAGATCCGGAGGGGTTTTAAGTTTAAAGGGTTCGGACTGAGGGTTCACGATCACTTGAGGTCACTTCGAAGCTTCAGCACTTGCTCTCAGCAATCCAGGATCAGGATTATTCTAAGGCTTCAGGTCGAGGGTGCTCCGCATTCCTGCTGCGCTCTGCCGAGGCAGCCACCAGGTGATCGTCTTCCGGACCCACACACAGGTGCACCAACCCTGCCTGCGGAGGCTTTGGAAACATTAAAACTCTAGCCCTAAACTGGAACCCCGGATGGAAGGTAAGGGAGTCCGGTCCACTAGGCCCTAGGCCAAAGCAAGAAGCACAGCATCCCTGTTTTGGACTTAGAAAGGCCCACGGAAGCCTTGGCTGCCACAATGCCTGAAGATGTCTGAAGTGTCATCTGCAAGCCGGTGCAGTGAGCTCGCATGCTGGCGCAATACTGCACAGCTCTAGAGCATTTCTACATATTCTGGTTCTGTGTTCTGGTGACTGGTGGCCTGCAAATACAGCGGACGCCGCACCCAGAGTAGTGCTCGTAGGCACGCCCCACGATGGCGCCTCTCACACCAGCGTCGAAGACCTTGGAGTTGACGGGCTTAGGGATCTAAGGTCTCAGGTTCAGGTTTAGGGCTAAAAGGGATAGGCACTCGGTGCTCATCGCGGCTCTTGAAGCCGCACAGGCTTCGCAAATACAAGGACATCTGCTGGAAAGCCGCTGGAGGGTTCCAGGGGATGGCAAGTCGGGTTTCGTGCCTAGTGTGCCTTACAGGACAACCAAAGTACAGTAAGGGCACATACAGGAATCTCAACTACTAAGCATTGACACGCCTGCTACTTTACACGCCCGTTTTTCCAGGGCTGAAGCACGAGCCGTTAGCATCACAGAACAAGATGGGGGCTCAATTGAGCCTTTTGTCGTGGCTTGGGTTGGGGGGCCCCGGCTTATGCAACGCTTGGGACCTCGTGATCATGCGGAGCCCGGTCCGGAGTTTCAATTTGAACGTGAGGGGGGGCAAGCCCAGCGACTTCCTCCGAGCAGAGCTCTTAAAAACTTCCTTTGCCGAGCACAGGAGCTGCCACAGCGTTGGCTTTCAGGCCGTCGGGGTCATCCAAGTCCAGAAGCCTTTTGGGCACACAGCCGACGTGTTGCGGACATCGTTGGCAAACATGTGTCTTCAGAGTCCGGCGTCATGTGACAAAGCATGCACGTGCAAGGTGGGCAGTCAAAGGTGAATCTAGAAGTCGAGAGGCTTCTGCTGCATTTGCCTGGCATGTTCGTACCACGGCACCTTGGTGACGAGTCATTGAGGGATGCCTGCGACTTGCTTTGGCAGCAAGGACTTCCCATGTTAGCGATGGCGAGCAGGATTGGGGCATGTCTCAGCATGGAGATCCGCGGCGGTGCGGAACCTATAAAACCAGACCCTGAAACCCAGAACTTAGAACAATAAGACCGCATGAAGTCACTAATTCTGAAAAGCTTGAAGCTCGACTCTAGCACGAGGAGTCCTCGTCAAGGCCCCTTTGATCCAAAGACAATTTCTGGGAAGTGCAAGCAGCGTCGTAGAAGCCTTATGAAACCTCGCTCTAAACCTTCTCAAATTTTGTCGTCTCCAGAGAACCATTAAAGAGGCGGCCAGACAAGAGAACCTCATGTGCCTTGATAAGAACAGCTCCAGTCCATGGGGAACGACTAGGACTAGGAAAGGCTTGGGCCCGATGCGCTAGGCTGCAACCCTAACAGAGCCGGAAGCTCGGCGAGTCACGTTCTCTTCTGGAGCATTGAAGAGACCTGCTGTCACCTGTCTGCAAGGTTCGACTCGGGCTTCATTCAGCGCTTTGTGAATTTCGTGCGTTCTTGCAGCTCTTGGTCCTGTGTCGTTCCAGCAGACAAGCGGAACCTGCTTACACCAGTCGAGATTCACAGCCCGCCGCACAAATGCTCTCCCTCTCTCTCATCTTGACAATGAGCCTCGAGGCTTAATGTGACAGCGACGGCATAAAGGCCCCAGGATCTGAGTAGTCTCGAGACTCGTAGCTGTCGTAGCTCGCAGAGCATGGACGTCATATGCGACCGAACCGTTACAGTCCACGGCCCTACGCGCCCGAATCTGTAGCCCTTTGCAGCACCTCCTGGCTCACGCGGTGCGTCCAGGTGGTCGCCTGGCGGACCACCTGCCCCAAAAGCCGCTTGCTTGCATGTTCGCTTGCATGTTCTGGGTTTGCGGGAAGCCCAGCCCACGCCTTGTCAGCTGGAAGCAGGCAGGTCAGGAGTCCTCCGATGGCTCCAGGCCGAGATGCTTTGGGGCACGGGGTTGAGTCGCAAGGTTCAGAGACGGTTTCTTCATCCCATCCCGCACACGATGCAGTCGAATGCACCTATGGAAACTTCCGGTGGTTGCGACTGCTTGTGTATGCCCCCGACCGAGGTTACTGCAGGGAAAAAAACACCGAAGTCTTCAGGCAGGGTGTTTGGGGTCTAACCGTCTAGGGCAAGTTTCCGTGATCAGGGGGCTTTGGATTTCGGCTAGTTCGGGAGGGCCGGTCCAAATCGCCTCCGTCAGGATAACCCTCCCCAGCACCATCAGCGTCGTGAGAACGAAGACGTGCCGTGTTGTGCCACGAACCCACCCAAACCGGGGGTCCTGACGTAGAGATGTCCTTGGCAAGCGCATCAACCGGGATCGCTTTGGATCCACACATCTTTTCGTGAAGGCGAGCTGCCCAAAAGCCTCAGTGGGGGAGGTTCCAGACGCGGCCTACGGCTTCAAAGTTGAGCTTGGGTTTGGGGCTACCTTGAGGTTGAGGGCTGTCGTTTTCTGCGCAAACTTGAGCTATTGGGTTTCGAACTTGGGAAACGGGAACTGCCAGTATGCTCGGAGTCTCGCTGGGATTGCAGTTGAGCTATTCCGCAGAACCGCGAAAAGCCCGGAACTCACACAAATCACAATCGATTCAAGCCACTTCAAGGGAACGTCCGGAAGAGTGCGGTGTTAAGAAACTTCCTTCAACGGGTGCGGCACTGAGGTTCCGGGCCTGGTCACTCTATCGATTCCACCAAAGTCCCGCAACCTTGCTCTGAACTCTGCCCTTGAACCCCCCAAGGTTGATCCCCCACGCCCGAAGCCTTGACGCGCGAAGCGAACAAAGCCCGAAAGAATCCGGGCTGCGCTGGTCCATGAGGAGGATGCCGCTGGTGATGACGGGGATACCGGCCTCGCAGGTTAAGTTTCAGAAATGGTTGCGATTCTTTTGTTGGTTGTTGACACCTCTTTTCCTCCTGCACGGTTTTGTAATGCTTGGAACTAGGATTCTGCGACAGGCAGAATTCCGGTTCAGGGTGCTGGGTGCTGAGCGCAGCCTTTAGGATCGGTCTGCATGTTCAGGGCGTACAGGCCTCACCAGGGGCCATGTTGGCGCTGGGAGGCTAAGGCTTCGAGGCTACAGAGACTCTCGCTCGAACTCTGTACAGGCCTTACAGGGCTGGGGTTTAGGGGGGTGTAGGTTTCTGTTGCTGCGCAGCTTCATTCAATGCCCTTGGCTAGTGATTCTTGGCTTGCGGTCTTGAGCCGCAGTAGTTGCAGTGGAGACCCTGAACTGAAATCCAGCCTCAACCGGCGCGAACTGCAAACCCTGACAAAGCGATAAACCCACCGACATCAAGTGCAGGCCTTCATCGCTTCGGAAGTGACCTTTCACTTTTTTTGGGGGGAATAGTGTGACGGGATGAGGGTCAGGAATTGATACTAGTAGGGCTTGATAAACGGGTGCTTTCAGGTCTTTTTTGCGTACTTTGTATGGCCAGGCCTGAGACGATGAACCAGCGTAACTTAAACCGTTTCGGATGCGTCGTAAGCGGCCGGCAAAACTCTGAGCCCGAGTGCCGATGCACTGCGATTAGGGGACCTCATGAAACCCGACACACTAGCATGTACAGTTGCGGATTTCTCATCCTTGGAGGAAAAGAAGGGGCTTGCTTGGGCATGTCACGTGTCCTCAGTCCTCTAGCCACAAAGCTCCAGGGGGCTGCACGTCAACAAGAACATAGTTGCAAAGCCCCGTCCACCACTCGAGCAACAACTTTCGGAGAACTGAATCCTGAATCCTATGGCCCTGCGCATTTGCAAACAAGGCACCCCGAGCCCACCATGAAGGATGGCAGCATCCACCTGAAGGACACCCGACCCTGAACCTCTTGCATCAGGCTTCTGAACGCTCGGCGTTCCCTGAACAAAGAAGGACATAGCACCAGTCTGAACCCGAAACACTGAAACCAACACCTGTCATAAAGCCAACGCTTGAGCTCGAAGCCCATGTGGCACTTCACCCCTGTGAGTTTCGACTCTCACACTCGCGCAAGGCCGGCAAGGCTCCACACAATCCCGTCACGCATACACGCAGCTCAGTATCCTGACCCACATCTGATACAGATTGATACAGGAAGCAAGTAGCTAATGTAAACCCCTGTGAGTTTAGGGTACAGGTCTTTTGGTTGAGGATTTGCGGTTGGGTAAGGTTTGAGGACGATTACTCGAATAACCTCGCTTCACGCTGTCGATGGCGCAATTGGAAAAAGGCCAAGGCATGCTTCTTCTCGAAAGGAGGGGCTGAAGTCAATGCAACTGCATGCTTCGAGGTCGTGCACGGAAGCACCCATGCTTCCCGAAAATGCAGTGGTCGAAATCACTTGAACTCAGTGGTCATGTAACTACTTTGGCTCGTCAGTAGGTAATGTGGGCGAAACTTGGAACTTCCTGCGTCCGCTGCACTTCACGTAGACATGCGCAAGAACAACGGAGCCCGAACTTCACCCTCAAGGAGGCTGCTAAAGCCCCTTCTCCGACTGTTCATGTTGCCAAACTGGCAGGGGAGCCCCACAAAGCTCACAGCCCGGAGAGCCTGCGGGAAGAGGTCGCAAAAGGGCACGGGGCCGTCAAGGATTTTCATCCTTTCGTTTCGGCTTCGGAGCTTGGCTGGGTCGGAGTGGGGCTCTCAAGCTTGGGTTGTCCAAAATTCTTTAGCTCGGATAACCCATGTCTGCGGATTTGGGCGCTTGAGATGCTCTCATACGCTACCACTACCAAAATAATCTTGACCTTCCGAAAAAAGCTCGCGCTTCAGATGCATGAAAAAAGCCAGCTGATAGTAATCACCACATCCGGTTTGCGTGCTTTCCATTCTTAAGTACCGAAGGAACAAAAACAAAACGGCATCCAGATTTCACCGTACAGCGTGCATCATACAGCGTGTGCTGCATGAACTTCAAAAGAGGTATCCTCATGTCACCTCAGCCAAGACTCGCTTCACATCGCAATTTCCTATTGTAGGAGCGAGCATACGCGCGCCGTACAGCAAGTGTAGTTTCAAATTGGTGGTGCATCCGGTTGACACGTTGACTTTAGAATGCGTGCTAGTAGGAATTCATGCAAGAAAGGTGGGCTCTTTGAACCTTAAGACAACACCGCACTCGACACCAAACCGAATCGTCTTTGCGGATCCGAGGAGCAAGCCTTGTTCCTCGAATTGCCTGGTGGGGTGAACACTTCAGGTTGTGAACTTACACTGGTCAGCTTTCTGGCGCATGCCGGCGGCTGTAGGGCACTCGCAGTCCCGGAGCGGTAAAGTGCAGCGAGGTGCCCGGATCCCGAAAACAAGTCTTCAAGCCAAAACTGCTCCCCAAGCCCGTGGACGCTGCTCAGTCCAAGATCCATTGTGGCGGGTCCAAGCAGGACACGTTGCTCCGTGGATTGAAACTGGCGACACTGGGGCCCTTGCTTAACTTTCTCGACGTCTTGCCGGGCCAAATCCTGCTCCAGAAGGGCTGTGTTGGATGGCGGCTGCGTCCGGGCGGTGGTCGCACACTTTCAGGACTTGTATGCTCGTGCAGATCAACAACTTCCTCGTGGCTTCGCATGTGATCTTTCGGAAACCTGTCATTGGTTTATTTTGGAGCTTCGGGCTTCCAGTACTTTCGGATCTGGGTTCAAGCTCCAACGGTTGGGAGTTTCAGTGCTTAAAGCTGCGTTTCGGCGACCAGCACACCACCACGATTGCACAGAGCGCATGCGGCCGAGGACAGATTGAACCGTTGTCTAAACACGAAGATGTAAATAGACGGAAATAGTTGCAGAGGCTGCTGCTGCAGAAGCTTGAAAACAACAAAGCCTTGGACCGTGAACACGCTAAATCGCCATGCTCCAGACCCAGCGGCTTTCAGGCATGAATCTCTCCACAGACGCCACATGACAGCACGACGAAGACAGTGTGAAATCATACGATAGCAATACTATCATACCACAATGCTACTACGAACTATACTGCTGCTTTGGTTGTACAGAGATAGCATTGTTGTTCGGTCCTCCGCAAAAAAAAAAAAAAAAAACGAGAATGCGCTAGCCAGGCCTCCGGCTGCCCGGCTGCCAGGACGACACAGGCGACGTTTTGCTTGGCCAGTTCTACCTCGTAGGCTTAGGGGCCTGCAGAACTAGACGAGGGATCTTTGCAGGGTTCCCAAGACGGTTCTATAGGAGTCAATTGGAGAAGGGTTTTGAGGTATATTTTCGCGAACAACATCAAGGACCATACGGGGAAACTGATACCAATTATTGTGTCTGTGTTGGTCAATGTGTCGAAGGTTTAGAAAAGGGTTCTTGTGTCTGGGGTTCAGAATTCTTATTCCTGGGCTGCCTGGGTTGAGGACGATTGTTTCCGGAGGTTGAATTTGGTTTCTTGGGTCTGAGGTTCGGGTTACTTTTCTGCCTCTCGCCTATCTAGGACAAACCCCGCATTGCGGGGTTGACATGTCCGACAAAGTCTCAAGATGCCTCATCCCATAAGGACTCAATGAATGGGTTTGGGCTTTCGACTCNNCACACTCACACAATGCGGGCACTGATTTCGGCCAGAGTCCTTCAACGGCATCATCCAGATGTGCCCAACGGGAAAAAAGTAAACAACCCACAAAATCATGTAAGAAGCTACACCGTAAACTCGCCCTCCTACAACTACTACCACCACCCCTTCTTCTACTTACTTCAACTTCAACTTCTTCAACTTCAACTTCAACTTC